CCTGGGCCTGGTAGCCTTCCACAGCGTGCCAAGCTTTTCCGAACCGCCAGCAGCGCACATTTTTCCTTTTCTTTTGGCTGCTGCCGCCAGCCAATATGGCCCGGTAGCCCCCAGGCTCCGGCATTTTTGTAGGTGACGAACGATTTCTCCACGAGGCTGGGGCCGTGTACTGGTGGTGATTTAAAATCCCTCACTTCAATTCAGTACATTTTGGCACTTGTGGTTTAGACCACCAGGAGACGGCCCCAGCCAACTTGAGAATCCGATTCAGCCTCCCCTAAAATTTTGGAGGCTCGGGACAGGGCGTCCGAAGGGGCCAACACCAAAACGAATTGTCCCATTCCGTGAGGTGGCACTAGGCCCAGTCCTGAACCCCCCCCCAAAAAAAGGTTCCGCCTGCCCCCAGGTGCACTGTGTTCCGAGTCCCCAGGCGCACTTTTCGGAGAGGCTCATTCAAATTCTCCAGATGAACAGGTGGTTTAGGACTCCAATGTGTACTGAATGGAAAGTTAGGAGGGGTAAGAAAGGCCCCACAATCAGGGCACAATTTCGGAAGATCATGTATAAATGATATGATACATGCTGCGCACCAAATTGCAATCAAACCGTGCAAGCACCCAATTTTGGGGGGGGAGGAGGTAGAACAAGGAGGAAAGGAGGGCCCCGGGGGGGTGGGGGGGGGGAAGGAGATTTCGCGAGATCTGCCAAAATTGGGGCAAACTTCAGCTGATCTGTCCAAAAATTGGGATGCTATCATGCTACGGAGAATATTAGCATGAGCCCCGCACATGGATGACAACACAGGCAAACGGGGAAATGGTCCAAAGAAAAAAGGAAAGAGAAGGGTAAAACAAAAATTGGGATGCTACGGAAAGGGGCAAGATGGTCCTTCGGGACATCCGTTAAAATTGGAACTATACAGAGAAAGAGAAGATTAGCAAAATGGGCCCCACGCAAGGAGATGACACGCATAAATCGAGAAATGGTCCAAAAAAAAAAAAGGAAAGTGAAAGGGGCCAGAAGGGGGTAGCAAAGGGGGGTGGTCGACTGCACCTCGGCACCTAGAAAATCAGGTATTGGGGGTACAAAACCCGGGGAAAAAAAAAGAACAAACTAGGTGGTCAGAATTTTATGTTAAATCGTAGTAGGCAGAAAGGGAGAAAAGGACAAGAAACAGGGGGTGTCACACAGTCACAGACTGTTTCGTCGCAAGTTTCATGGACTTGTCATACGGCGCAAGAGTCGCCGCCTGCGTCAACTGGAAAAAGGTTAGTTTGCAGGTTGCAGGTCTCGCCTCGTCTCACCCATTATTAATACAGGGGCCAAAGAAAAGATCCAGAACACACAGAGTGGGTAGTGAAAATAGAAAAAAAAAAGAAAAAAAAGAAAAAAAAGAAACATGCAATCAACCATGAAATGAGCAAGTAGTGGAAATAAAGAAGCAGCAGGGGAAAAGATCCCCCGAGAGAGAGCTTCCTGGTCCCTAAACCCTAGACCCTAATGTACTCCCTCCTCCCTCCTGTGTATTTCTCTTTTGACTTGCTGGCCGACGCTCCCCAGAATGGAAAGCCGCGAGAACCCTAAGGTTCTGTTTCCCCCCACTCCCCCCCCCCCCCCGAAAAAAAAAGGAACGAATAAAGAAAGGGGAAAAAAAAAAGAAAAAAAAGAAAAAGAGAAGAAAAAAAAAAAGGAAAAATAATAAGACAAAAAAAGGAAAAAAAAAGAAAAAAGAAAGAGAAGAAAAAGAAAAGAAAGAGAAAAAAATTAAAAAAAAAATAAAAAGGAAAAAAAAAATGAAAAAAGAAAAAGGAAAAGGAAAAAACAGAAAGGAAGAAGAAGAAGAAGAAGAAGAAGAAGAAGAAGAAGCAGGAGACCTCATTCACTCTGCGTAGGAGAAGCGCGGCAGAATGCTTGCATATCTGGCCAGGTTTCACATTTGCGGCGGCAGGGCAGGAGCACGAGGCAGTTGTATGCCAGCCACTTTCTGTCGCCTCAACCTTGAATGTGACTATATACGAATCTCCAGCACTGGATCCTGCAGCAGCCCACACCATCCATCAAATCAATCAACAACGTGCGGCTTGCGAGAACAGCCTCTGCCTCACTGGGACTTCAACAGCGATTCAAATGCACACCTGTGATAACCCGTCCAAACACGGACCGAAACACACAGCTGATTTCTGAGTTTTGCTCATAGACTGAATGCCCTACTGAGTTCCCCGCCTGCTAAGTTTGTGTGTGTGTGTGCTTGCTGGACTGCATGTCTGTCTGAGTGCTGGTTGGCTTGCGTGTGTGACCATGCCTGTCTGAGTGCTGGTTGGTATGAGTGTGTGTGTGTGGCCCGCCAGGGCACTTGTTCGTTCGTTGGGCCCTCAGGGCCGGTACTTACCTGTGGCCGTGGCTTTGAAGGGTTGCAGCAGGGAAAAAGCACTCAAGCATTTTTCGAGGCCGGTAGTGTAGGCTAGATCTAGCGGGTACTAGTCTGAGTCTAGGGCCTGTAGGGGCAATATCAGAGTCTGCAATGATGTTCCCTCCAAAAGGAGGAAGAGGTACCGGTTGCTTGGGAAGGCCAGCGGCCTGGAAGTCACCGCCCAAGAGGCAAAGCAGGCCGCTATATCTTCCGGCCGGGCGGAAGACCCGGCCTCTTTTTCGGTGTGCAAGTTTGGCGACACACGGGTGGAGCGCTGGAGGGAGCAGCGCTGGGTTGGAGCTGCGCTGCTGGGGAGGAAGAAGAAGGACTAGAGGGAGGAAGAAGGAGGAAGGAAGGAGGAAGGGGGAGGAGCGCCAGGGGTACTTACCTGGCTATGGTGGCAGCCATCGTCATCACCTTGGTGGGCACTGCAGCAAGGAGTCCCCAGCCGGGGAAAGCCACACCAAGAAGCTTCAGGGCAGGGTTGGACATGGCGGCCTGAGTCCAAGCAGCCATAGCTGCTTTGTGTTGTCCTTTGGGCATCGGAGCAAGGCCTAGTAGTCCGCCATAGCCTCGGCCTATGTGTACGAAGAGTGGGAGAGGCGGCCATGGCTATGGTGGACCTTGAGTGATACCTGCAGYAGAAAAGGGACTCGGACATGATTCTGGACCAGTCATTCAACATTGTACTATTATTTCTTGTATGAAAAAGAGAAGGGGGAGATAAGGAGGAGGAGATTGTTGGGCGAAGAAGAAGAGCCTTGTCATCATCTTTGCTGGTGTACTTCTTCTTCTTCTTCTTTCTCATTTCTTCTTCTTCT